TTACAGATAAATATGTCTGAGCTCTTATTCTTGCATATAATTTTTTTTTTATTTTTATTTGTACTTGTACAAATAGTAGTATTTCTATATAGCCACTATGTAGTTATTATTTTTAAATTACTAATAAAAATACGAGCAAGGCCTCACCTTAATACCAAAAAAAAAAAATAATAAATAATACTTTAAAAACACAACTACAACAAAAAGAAATTCCAATTTTGTTACAATAGACTATATTCACTAATAATTCATTATCCTGTTCGCAGAATTTGGTACAAATTCTGCATAGATCTTGCCACCGCAGTATCCTAAACACTTTAGAGTTTTCAGACTTATATGATTTCAGAAATTTTTAATTGTTTAAATGATAAATTCTTGAAATTACTAAGTCTGAATCTAATCATCAATATAGATCAAAGAAATTGGCAAATTATTATAAGAAAAAAGATAGTCACTTTTATTTTTTTATTAAAATTTATGAATTCTATCTTGACAATTACGCATTTATTATGAATTGATTATATATGACAATGCAATTTTATTTTATTATGTGATACTGGTATTTTTATATAAGCAACATGAATATCAGATTCTTTGAATAATTTTATTATAAAATTGATCGCATCTCTAAACATCTGCCCAAGTATATATTTTTTAATTATTTTTTGATTTAATAAATGCTACCAAGGTGTAAACTTTCACCCAAAAAAAATATATGACTCCTTAAACTAGCTTTTAACAGATATCACCAGGATTAGAGGTTGGAACCGGTTTTAATAATTCGAGTTTATCACGTGAATTTTGTGATATTTTAGAATTTAATCCAATTAAATTTTAATAAATTCTAAAATATCACAAAATTTACGTGATAAACCCGAATTATTAAAACCGGTTCCAATCTCTAACCAGGATGTAGAAAAGGTGGTGTATCTTTTAACATCAGAATTGACTACGCAACCTATTAAACAATCTATCGAAAAACCCATCACTAAATACAAACAGAATATCGAACAACCTATCACTAAATATGAACAGAACATCGAACAACCTATTATTAAATGCAAACAGAATGTAGAACAACCCATCATTAAATACAACCAGAATATTGAACAACCTATCACTCAATACAAACAGAATATCGAACAACCTATCACTAAGTACAAACAGAACATAGAAAAAATAGTATGCGATTATACACCTAAATCAGTTAATAATAAATTCAAAATAAATAAAAAAATAAGTTGTAAGCTAGATATCCTTGAACAGAAACCAAAAGCAGCCAATATTGAAAAATATAATATACAAACCTGTATATCTGATATAGAAATGTCTGATATAAAATTTCCTTAGTTTTTGAGTTTTAGTCTTCTAGTTTAAATTTAAAATGAAATAATCTGTATGTAATATTAATCTAGGTAAAAATTCTATATATATAAATCTAAACTGAATTAGCCAGAACAGCTACTCTAAAGTGCTGGTTATCTGACCGTACATATTATCAATATATGTATTCAATTAAACTGCCTAAATAGTCAAATAGCCAGAACTCTGAGATTACCTTGTCTAATTCATAGAATTGTGTAAACATTCTACTTAATAGTTGCTTATTGAAATAAAACAAAAAAAAATGCTTCATATCATATTTCTGTATCATTAAGATGATACATGTTCTGAAAAAATAAGTAAAAACTACAAAACTCAAAAATACGCTACTAATAACAAATAACTATTCAATAAGAAAAATAATCGTTGAATCAAAAAGAAAAGATTCAATTTAAACCAGATATATTTATCCAAAAGTTTTGTCTTTTCTCTTTGCAAGGTAATAATGGAGGTGGTAATAAATTTAAAGAGTTAAAAGAAAAGTTCAAAAGAGTATGTTAAAAGCTTGGAATATTAAAGGTAATTTCTTAGGGTCTTTTGCATGAGGTAAACATGATTCACTTAAGTTTTTTATTAGGAAGCCTACCAACATATATTCATTTGTAGCTATGTTTCAAGTCAGTCTATGTCAACATGTTTTTATAATGGGATATAACCCAGTGATCAGAACATGACATACTGATACTTTAAACAAAAAAAATAGTAACAGTAAAAATCAAAAATTCGGCGATAATCATCATGTCAAATGGCTTAACTCTCTATAAAAAATTTTTGGGGTACTAAATCTATTGTTGCATATTGCTGCATGTTGATGCATATTCGACCATATACTTATGTTAATACCTTCTACTCAGATTTAGTTATAATGACAATGTCCAATTCCCTCATTATAACAACTCCTAATATTAAACGTTCTACTAGCATACTTCACCTTTGCAGATTTTGATAAATGAACTCTTATATTCATCCTTGTCTACTCCAATTCCTTCATCATAACAACCTCCAACGTTCTACTAGCATGTTCTATCTCTAAAAATCTTGATGAGTGCCTTACGTTCATTCTTGCCTACTTTTATCATAATAACTTCTAACATTAAACGTTCTACTAGTGTGTCCCATCTCTGCAGATTTTGATAAGTACCTTATATTTATTCTTGTCTACTCTGATTTTTTCATCATAACAACTTCTAACATTAAACGTTACATTAGTGTACTCCATCTTTACAAATTTTTGATTTCATCTTCAACACTGATCCTGTTATAATAAAATGTTTCACCAGCGCATCATTCTGGAAAATGTCACGAATCATTTGAAAAATCTATCGTAAAATGATATAGAAGAAATCTGAAAAGAACTGTTGAGTAGCAAACAAAAAAAAAAGTATGAGTTAATGCTACTAAAAAATTAAATGATGCCTTCACTATTAACATCTAGCAAAAATGACCAGGTCGATTCCGTTATAATAAAATATTCTACCAGCGCATCATTCTAGAAAATATTACGAATCATTTGAAAAATCTATTATAAAATAACATAGAAGAAATCTGAAAAGAACCATTATATATACAGGCAACTTTCTGACGACAGTCCTTACAATAGAGTAACAATTTTTAAAAGTTCATTGTGGAATAATTTACTATGTTCCTATACCGACTCTACAATTAAATTTGTTAAAAAAGGTTTATTATAGAGCGAGCTCTTTATAAAAAAGTTCGATATAAAGCAAGTCGACTGTTTATATTGCATAGATGTGTCAAAATAAAATGAAAGATAGCAGTTGTAGCATCGCCCGCAAAACAATGTAGCTTACGTCATAGTTAAAGCTCCGAAGCACAATAACAATAAATTGTGCATGGATTCTGAGTTTTAATTATGACGTAGCTACATAAGATTTTTAGTGGGAAGTGCTAAGGCTGTTAAAAGACATTTATAATAACTCTTCATAATACTAAATTTACATTGACTTTTACAGTTTTACAATACTTTCACATATCATTCTAATTATTATAATATATATACTAAGAGAGGAAAAAGATATATAAGTAATATATATTTAATTAATAATCCTTAGATATCATAGTTCTATAGTTACCCAACTATATGGGCTTTGCCCTTATGGATAGTAAAAAACCCAATACATATTTATTCCTTATTCTCGTTTTTGTTATACCAACTCTAAATCAAATACACGCACTATTATGTCATTCTCTAAAAATTTATAGTAAAACATAATAAACTTAACGTTAAAAAGCTTTCCCTACAATATAACCTTTAAAAATATCATTATCGTTGACCACTGCATATAGTATCCACAATAATTAAGCTAGGTGAGAAATAATACCGTGCCTTAATCAAGGAGAGTATTATTTTTGAGAGATACTATATGCAGTGATCAACGGCATATTAGTCATTATACACGTTTCTTTAAAATTAAGTGCATAATTTTTAAACATCTCGGTTGATTTATTTAAATTATCGGTATCATAAATTAAAGTATATAGT